GGCACGATACCACGGGCCCTACCGCATCCTCGCCCGTACGTCACCCGTCAATTATGAGATTGAGCCATTGACACAGTCTCATGACTTACGCCGTCGTGGCCGAGAAATTGTGCATGAGTCGCCTGAAGCCGTATTACGACCCCGCTATAGTGACTACGCCTTAAGTCGCCAGGTTGGCTACGCTATTCACCGGGGGCCAATGTAGGGAACTATGCGAACGACGACGAAGCAGCATGAAACGGCAAGCCACAGCGGTGGTGCACGCGCAACCCGAGCTTGCGTTTGTTTTGTATTTTCGGCCTGTTGGCGTTCCTCGCTCTTCTGGCGTTCCTCGGCCTTCCAGTAGGTCTGTACGTGATTAAACTGCGTGACAACATCTTTACTTTATGAGGTATATATATTGTGGGCACTTATAAGACGCTTCACCATCACCTGTACACAATCATCATCAGACAACGCTCTTCGTCTTCACAGCATGTGAGAATAAATCTCTCAAGTCATGTCTCTGCCTCGAATGCAGCTGTTTTGGCCACATCTTCCAGGCCCAAAGAAGGCATGTAAAGCACTACGTCGTAAGTGGTGGAGGTTGCTCCTCAATTGCCCGTCCCTACTTGCCTGCTTTAACTCCTGGAGCTTCCCTCAGGTCGCTGTTTGGGCCACTTGTTCACCAGCATGTTGCAGGTCAAACCCTTAGAAAGTTCATCTACTATCAGGCTGTTACTGCTGTAGATCCTCTCTCTTGGATCGTCAGCTCTGTTTGCTTGACTCTGCAATGAGGACGTGCCAGATTGACTACACCAATATGATATTGTGAATGCGGCAAAATGTTGGGACAATCTACAAAAGCTCTCCCACGTCTCTTTCTATCTTAAGAGCGCGGCAAAGACTTAGTTTTTTTAACCACCAGATCGACTTTTCCGAATGAAATGCTTTCAGAGAACATCTCTGACTAGTCTTTGGTACTCCGGACGTTTGATGCAGCCTGGCGAAGAGGACACGCTCGCAAACAACAAGTCAGCGAGTCTTACACCTTTTAAATGGAGGATGTTCTTTCACTCCGTCGACGTGTCAATGCTTCCATGGCAGAACCGGACAAAATGTGTCATCATCTGAAAGGCATCGAGCCTGTTGCCTCCAATGTTTTGAAGGTAAAGGACCCTGCTACAGGTTGCTGACATTGTAGCTACATACCAGCACCCGTACGAGCTCGAATCCACGTGGCTTTAGCAGGACAACTCTCCTGCAGCCATCCCCGACAACCCTACTGCTGGCCCCTCATTTCGAGCCATGATCCGGCCGCGCAATCATACGAGAAGAAATGAAGTCTCTGCTTTTCTGCATGTTCGTTTTCTTGGGATTCCTTTGTACAATTTACGTTGCAACGTAGTGCTTTACGCATCTTTATTAAGCCTGGAAGACGTGGCCAATTCAGATCACTACCAAAGCACCAAAAAGACTCAATAATTATCCCCACAAACAGTGGGGATAAAGAATACTATCTGATGATGTTTATGTACAGGGTGATGAAGCATCCTATAAATGCCCCCACTATGTGCAATTAAACTTGGGAGTGTTAGTCAGCGTTGCTAGTAGCCATATTGACAAATTTTCAACACTTTTTTTGGCAGTGACGTGACTGCTCTAAAGGAGTCGTAATTTTGCTTTTACAAAAAAATCATGTCGCTGTCTACGGTGGTTGTTAGACAGCCCTGTGGATTTCGTGGTGCAGTGTCGGTGTCCAACTTCGGTTCAAATCACTCTCTTTTATTTTCTGTACTCAGTATTGTTTCAAGTATTGTTACTTGTTTTTAAATGATAATTCTGTTTATTCATCGGGGATAAAACTATCAACAGTCTTTTACGTCCAATGTAGGATCACCTTTCCCAGATGATTTGCGATTGATACAATGCTGGGCAGGTAGGTTTCACTGTATGCTTGTGAATTAAATCTTTCCTTATCGCGCTTATTCAAATCGATCACTGGTGATCGACCTTTTGGTTCGTCGATTTTCGCATGCTAAATTTGTTTCTCGTGATCCTACCACTTTCTAGTACATGTACAGCCAACTCTCGTTAATTCAAACTCAAAAAGACCTCTGAATTTTGTTTGACTTATGAAGAAGTTTGAATTATCAGAAGTTCTCAGATGGATGAAGTAACTGGGAGTGAGGAAGCGATTAGGCATTGACTTTATCAGATTTAAAAAATTTTTAAGCATTTTTAAACACTAAATGCATGCAATGAACAGAAAGAAGTATAAGGTCCACAAGTTTATCGGACATTTACTGCTGATCAGACCTCTTAAAGAAATCGTGGTTTGTCAACTGCTTCTTCGCTATATGTACCTTCAGAACAAAGCTCTGTATACCAGTTCAGAAGCATCATGGTTTATCATGCATGTGCTTCGGTCATCATTACCTTTGATGGTGACCGGGTCCCAACATGGGTGTACTACGGGGATGCAATGTTGAGGTGCACCATATACAGAAAGAAGATCAACATGTGCCACCAGTGCGGGCATGATGGTCATCGCATGGACGTCTGCCGAAACCCCAAAGACCGTGTCTGTAGAGGCTGAGGAGCTTCGAACCCAGACTCCAATCACAAATGCATGCCAACGTGTCGCCTCTGCGGGGGAGCACATCTTACTACAGACAAGACCTGCAAGGCTTGATTCAGGACCCCTTATTTTGTCAAAAACGACGCGGTGACCGAAAAAGGGCTGCAGCGAAGGCCGCGCTCGAGCTGCAGCAGCCGAACTACGACGAACAGTCCGCACCGCCTCCCCATTCCAGCCCCCACGCTCGAAGCTAGGTGCGGTCAATGGGTCCTCGATCTCGCCAGCAGAGTCAGCTTCGGAGCCGGCCTCGGGAGTCATGGCCGTTCCAGGTCGCGGCGTCTGAAGCAAGCTGGTCATCAGGACCCGAATCTACCTGGCAACGAGAGCTTCACAGATGCGGTTAAGGGCACGTGAAGACGTGGGGCTCAAGGAGCTACTGCCTAAGAACCTAACAATACGAGAAACCCTAAAGACGCGGCATTAGAAGCAGTACAGCACAAAAATGCGCACTTACGTACGGTAGTGCAGCAGTTAACAAAAAAAATCCACGATATTAAGCAGTCGATGGTGCAGTCATCTATACATAAGCCTATTTCAGTTGAAACTCCTGTTGCGAGCATTATTGATAGTGAAGCGCCAACAGCAAACAAACCAGTGGCAACCAGCTCCGAATCTAGATGGCACGACAATCTTGAAGCTACAGTAAGAGATGGGTGCATAAAACAGGTCACAAACAGGTCAATGGTGGAATGAACAAGAAGAAACGAGAAAACTGCTCACTGACATTCAATGTGCGATCCGCAACATCGGCGTTGCAATCGACAACCTCACTGCCTGCGCAGACAGGGTAGAATTTCACAATGACAAATTCAAGACTCACATAAGCCTTCGCCAAGGCTGATCAATGATGCCTCCTGTGGGCCCTACCGTCATTCACAATAGCCCTATCTCAGATAGCGCATACGCTGAACACTACAACGGCCAGCTCCACTAACGAGCTCGTGGTGTGGCAGTAGAACTGTCGGGGCTTCACTAAGAAGCAACCACTGCTGCAACAATATGTACAACACGCACAACCCAAGCCTCACATAATCATACAGTAAACAGTGGGCACGATACCAAAACTTCGAAGTTTTAATGCACACGCTTCCCTAATTCCCGTTTATTGAGGAATCCCAATTTTAACACGAAAAACAGGTTGTAAACATCGCGGGATTTTCAATAAGGTCGCTTCCATCCATCCATCCAAGTTCAGGCAGGTGTGACTGCGGGCTTGGGTAAATTACAAGGTGTGATGGAGTCGATGAAACAAGAAATATGAAAGAATGAACATGCATCTAGCAGCGCTGATGTATCCTATGCTGAGGAAAGGTAGCCATAAGGAGCTCAAATGCATCCACCTTACACAGCAGTAAAAAAAAATTCTCCAGTCACTTCTAGAAGAGCAGAAACAGCAGCACTATACTCGGCCTGTCACTATAGGCAGAGTTGTTTTAGCATGCCACCTCACAGTTATATCATTATAGCTGTATCACTTGTCTCAATGAGGTAAAGTCTGTGCATATGCTTTTAATTATGGAGGTCAAAACCATCATTATTAAAGCCACCAGCATCAACTCAGCTGATCGTCTAGGTTCTTGCTGGCCAGCGGCTGCTCCCATCACTCCATTGTAGAATGTTGCCCTACGCGATTATTTTTTTTAAATAGGCAACATTACTCAAAAGAGCATTGAAAGCATAAAAGAAAGAGAAATGTTCACTTGATCAGCACGATTCGAACTGAAGTGGCACTTCAACAACGCATCATGTTGCAGTACACTAATAACGTACGGACTGCGCTTAGAAAAATCAATGTGGTAGGGCTGTCTAACAACTGGCACAAACAGCGACATTATTTTCTTGTACAAAAGCAAAAATTACCGCTCCTTGAGAGCAGTAATGTGATTTTTCAAGAATTCCCTAAAAAAAAGTAAAAAATAACAAAACGGGATTCGAGTTGATGACCCGCGGCACGACCGCTTCCCAACTGCGCAGCAACCCCCTACACAACCAGAAGAGCTAGATGGTGGCGTCTAAAATGACTACAATCTTATGGCAACGGCCCCTAATTTTTATCCTTACACTGCAGTGACAGGCCCCCTCACCGTAGTCATTGCTTTATGGTAACAGCGCCAGTCCTTACAGCTGCATTGCCATTATGACTGGCCCCCTCTCTGTAACGATAGTACTGCACTGATGAGCTCCGTCACCGTAGTCACGATATTACTGCGCTGACGGACCCCGTCAGTATAGTCACAGCCCTTTTCTTTTTGCCTGTTGCCATGATATAGCACAAGATCTTACTACGAGCTGGCAGTTGACCAATAATACCTCACATACTACCTGGAGGCATCAAGTCTGCGAGAATGAGACCCGTGCTCTGAATGAAAGAAAGGATGGGTGGAGTGCATGGAAAACAGAAGTTTTTATTTAAAGAAATACGTAGTAGTTAAGTGCTGCATCAGACACGTGGGGCATCCGCCATATGTGTAGCTGTCACTCACTCAGCCACCTGCAGAAACAATCAATAAAAGAAAGTATTTTGTACATTATGAATTCTGTCACAAAACTTGCTTGCATGAAAAGCCACCCATATTTAGAAGATTGTATTCCATAAATACACCCGACATTCAACACTTACAGAAATATTCCCCAGAAGAGTTAAAGTAAATTGGTAATGGGGGTTTAAAACTTTTTTTAATCTAGTAGTTTACCCATGTGAGAGTTTTGTGAGCACACTCTCTGCAAATGCTCTTTAACAGCACTTGTAGGAGGCTGCCGTTTACACTGTGTCTACTTTGCGTACCTCTCCTTATATGCATTGATTTTCTATACTAAATCCTCCCTTATAATTAACCAACAAGCCATTCAACTGGTTAAACATGCATTTAATTAAGAGTAAATGGGTGTTGTTATTAATGTAAAGCAGTAACAAGCTCTTCCAGACTGAAAACGAGTTATATTTTACACAAATAGAAACATCATCAATAGCAGATGTTATGGCTTCTGCGCGTGACATTGAAGTTCAGATAACTAAGTGACAAAAAATAAAAATGATGCTTGAAGCTCTTAAATAATTAAAGATTCACCAGGAGTATTTGTGAGAAATCATAAAATAGGAGTGTTTCGATAAGCCATCAATTGCAAATACAGCAGCCTCGTAACTAGATAGGACCGTGCCCATGGCAAATATAGTTTTGCTCCCTTCGTGACGGTAAATATAGTGATTAATATTATTATAGTGCAAAAATTACATTATCTCCTGCTAAAGAGAACTATGTGTGGATGCAAAGCATCAGGGAGATGGTGAGCGACACCCACAGACACTCGTTCATGTCGCCTTAAGCAGGCGCAACAACATTCAAAACATCCACCTGACTACCACTGCTGGTTACCATCGCTTCCACCACAAGAGTGCCAACGTGTACACGAACATGATGAACGAATTCAAACGCTTCGACAACCATTGTCTGGGCACCGTCAGTCAGCGTTACCTTCGACCCTTCTTTCAGCGCTGACTGGGAGAGACAGGGGGTTCGCAGGGAAGGAGAAAGAAAGAGGGAGGGGATGCGCATGCGCAGTGAAGGTGTGGATGCAGTGGGAAGAAGCGAGGGACGAGGCCCCTGCCATAAGCTGCTTCACATGTAAAAAGCCATTTGTCTGTTTTGGGCAAGCGTATGACCAATCTCTTGATTGATTGTCCAATACAGTGCACTAAAGCCGTCTTGCACATCCATGCATCGTACGGCCCACCAGAAGTTCACAAGGTTAGATAGAAAAAATGTGAAAGAAGAAATGGATGTTGCCAGTCATTTGTCTAGTTTCTACCAAATGTACGAAGTTTGCAAATTACATCCAACCACATAAAAGAAAATGACAAAGTCGACATGTAAAGGGTTCTTATTATTTTGCCATAAAAAGTATTGTTCCATATTATTTTTTACGTTCATCAAATCTGTATGCTATGCCTACATTTTTGTTAATTGTAATGATGCATTCAAATATTCGTTCTGTCAAACCTTGTTGTCACAAATTAGCATGCACACCAGTGCAAATTTTGATCGTGAACAATGGTTGTGAAAAAAGAAAAATGGGTTCTATATATTTCACATATAACATGGCGCACGCTCATTACAAAACGAACTGCCGCTCTCCAGTTATACATTTTCGCCATCGGCTGTGCTCTGTTCCCTGGTTCTCAAATACAGGACCCGCAGATATCTTAAAGTCAAGCCCTGCCTGCACATGACTGTCTTCATCGCACTTTTCATTTTTCCTAATAGGTGTGGTCATGACCTACACAGGCATAACTAGTCTATACCATTTTTTTTCCTTGAAGGAACCACTGCAGTCAACATGCATTGATGCATAACTGTGAAACAAAATTCTAAGATTTTGAATAGTCAGATTTCAGAATTGTTGAGATTTCAGTCTTTTTGAAGGCTGGTTTATGTCAGTGCAATACCTGCACTCAATCGCCTTTAAAATTGACTAATGTATGAGATAAGGGAAAAATATTTCAAATTGCAATGTTGGGCATTTGAAACATTTTAACCCTTTGTGGGTGCTTGTTTAAAGCCCTATTCAGAGTATTATATACTAGATAATATGCTAATACCTTCTCATGTAGCCACAACAACCGGTTCACTCAAACCAACAAATGCAAAATCTTAAGCTTTGTTAACACATTACGAAGTGTCAATGTAGCTTACCGCCTCATTGGAGCTGACAGTGAGCTTGATGATCATGATCCACTTTTTCTACTGGATAGTAAGTGAAACATGAGTGTATAGATCTTTTCTGGTCTAACTCTCATTCTTGGGCGTCCAATATGCACATTCAGTTAGAGACCTTAAAAGTAAACTAACAATAGGTATGAAGTTGAGGCGGAATGAGCAGAGCAATAAAGAACGCGTCCGGATTTGGTAGGGTGTGAGAAGAAAAGTTATTAGAGGAGATAAAGCGTAGACTGCGTATCTCCAACTCAAATTCTTTTGCTTCAGACTCAGTGCTGAAGGAATGTTGTCATGAATCAGATTGCTCTCAGCCAATAAGAAAGTGCCATCACACGTCACACAGCAGTAAAAAAAAAACTTCTCCAATCACTTCTGGAAGAGCAGAAACAGCAGCGCTATATTCGGCCTGTCACTATAGGCAGAGATGTTTTAACATGCCACCTCACAATTATATCATTATAGCTGTATCACTTGTCTCAATGAGGGAAAGTCTGTGCATGTGCTTTTAATTATGGTGATCAAAACCATCATTATTAAAGCCACCACCATCGACTCAGCTGATCGTCTAGGTTCTTGCTGGCCAGCAGCTGCTCCCATCACTCCATTGTAGAATGTTGCCCTACGCGATTATTTTTTTATAATAGGCAACATTACTCAAAAGAGTATTGAAAGCATAAAAGAAAGAGAAAAGTTCACTTGGTCAGCACGGTTCCAACCTAAGTGGCACGTCAACAACGCATCATGTTGCAGTACACCAATAACGTACCCACTGCGCTTAGAAAAATAAATGCGGTAGGGCTGTCTAAAACCGGCACAAACAGTGACATTATTTTCTTGTACAAAAGCAAGACTACCACTCCTTGGGAGCAGTAACGCGATTCTTCAAGCATTTCCTAAAAAAATGTAAAAAATAACAAAACGGGTTCGAGTTTATGACCTGCTGCACGACCGCTTCCCAACTGCGCAGCAACCCACTACAGCACCAGAAGAGCTAGATGATGCGTCTAAACAACTACAAACTTAAGGCAACGGCCCCTAACTTTTACCATTACACTGCAGTGACAAGCTCCGTCACCGTTGTCATTGCATTACAGTAACAGGGCCTGTCGTTATAGCTGCATTGCAATTATGACTGGCCCCCTCTCTTTAAAGATAGTACTGCACTGATGAGCTCTGTCACCGTAGTCACGATATTACTGCGCTGACGAACCCTGTCAGTATAGTCACAGCCCTTTTCTTTTTGCCTGTTGCCGTACCTTAAACGTACGCTAACAATAAGTATGAAGTTGAGGTGGAATGAGCAGAGCATTGAAGAACGCGTCCAGTTTTGGTAGGGTGTGAGAAGAAAAGTTATTAGTGGAGATAAAGCGTAGACCGCGAATCTCCTACTCAAATTCTTTTGCCTCAGACTCAGTGCTGAAGGAATGTCGTCATGAATCAGATTGCTCTCAGGCAATAAGAAAGTGCAATCACATGACACCACACGCATTGAATCAGCCACTGTTTGGCCGCGGTGAAGTGATGCCTTGGTTTTCATATTGCCACGTTTAATCTCGTTGTAGACTTTCAACCTTGCCTTGAAGATCACCACATAGAAGTAAGATTGCATGTCATTGAGTGTGTAAGGATCCCCCACACTTTTGCGGCGGCAGCAGCTTTTTGCAAACGAAGCCTGACTCAAACCGACGGAAAGCAAAGCGTCGTTTTCTTTTACGATGTCGCGTTGCTGAATACTGTTTATGATTGCTCAAGTTTATAATTTTCATTTTTATTAACACCGTTTTCTTTTTGGAGAACTCGAGCAGAGGCCCGATGCTGTGATGAAAATTGTGGAAGAGCAGCGAGAGCAGAGCCATGCATAGCTACTCAACCCACCCCTAGAATACGGCACTTATCCGAAGAGCAGGTGAGTGGGTACCAATGAAAGAAATGTACCATGAGATCAAAACCATCAAAGCCACACTATTTTTTTTTTTTGCAGGACAGCGGCAGAACACGAGTGAAATCAGCCTGCAGAATCGGTGCGAGGCTTGCTCGTTTAAAGGACGGTCGACATTACCGGAGTCAAGCTACACCTGGATGCTGTTATTGCTAATACGCTCACCGGCAGAAGGAAGAAATCAATACAAAAATATGAGGAAGATATCAAAATAAATAGCTCTTGGCAAATCACGGCTGAACTGCATTTGTGATCATTGAGACAAATGGAAAGGAGCATTAGTATTATCGGCATCAAATGAAAGGCAAACAGCCGCAAGCACCTGCAATTTATAGAGCGTCCCGTCGAGACATCACGGCAGACATGCACAGTGCTACCAAACATAACTGATGTGCACCTATCAATGGTGATGACTGGATGGAGCGTACTATATGGTTTCTATTACTTGTCACTGTTTGCATTTCATTTGATGCCGACAGCACACGTAATATTCCCTTCAGTCTCTGGCATTTTTTTCACTTGGTAAAGTTCAGTTGACAGCAATAACGACATGAATCCATAAATAATAGGATAAATTGCCATTGCAACTGCACTTCCTGAATTGCTTTTGCACTATTTTACAAGAGGCCCACCACTGCAGACACGGGTGTAGGAGTCGACATGCTGCGACATTATGATCAGGTGATGCCACCTTGCTTCACAGAACATGGCTCTGAAGACAGGTAGCCAGCGGCCCGAGCGTGTCTTTTCTCAGAGTTTACCCCTTCATGCAGCCTCCTTTCACAAACAGTTTTGTACACTGGTCATCTGGAAACAACAAAAGCTTAGAAAGCATGA